CCCCGCCCAGACTCGCGAGCTTGCGCACCCGCCGCGCGCGCCGCCTTGCGGGCCGCGTCCAGCGCCGCCTTGGCCGCCTTGAGCTTGTCTTTGGCGGCCTTGACCCTGGAGGTGCGGTCGCGCGTGAGGTCCGCCATTTCGCGCTCCAGGGTCTGGCGGGGCAGGGCATGGTGGGTTGATTAGCGGGTTTTGGGCGAGTCAGGGGTGGGATAAGGGGATGCAGAGGATGTTGCCGTCGGGCGCGACAGGCGGGTCGGGCGGGCGCGTCGCTCAGCGGGCGGCGGGACAAGGGCGTGATGTGGAGGCTGACCTGGGGGCGAGCAGCCCGCAGCGGCCACGCGGGCAGCCCCTCGGAGCGCGGGCGCGGCAGCAAGCGGCGCGCGGCGCGGCGCGCCCCGCGGCACACCTTCGCCATCGCCGCCATCTCCTGCCTCTTGGCTGCCGCGGCGTCCTTGGCCGCGCGCGCCGCCTCGGCCTCGGTCTCCGTCGCGGCGAGCGCCTCGGCTAGCTGGCTGCTCTCGCTGGTCGCGATGCGGTCCTTTGGATTATGCGGGAAAGTAGAGGGATGCAACTGTGCTAAGGGAATGGGTTTGGGGCGAAGGGCGAGGGCGTCGCGGTGGTCCTTGCGGCCGCCAAAGGCCTCACAGTCTGCTGTATTTGTGTGCGGTGGAGTGCTGCAGCAGGCATCGTGGGACGCACGCCATTGCGGCGGCACGGCGGCGCCGGCGGGGGCGGGGCCGGGCGCAAGGAAGCGGCGCAGCCGAGCCAGGCGGGACGGGGCGGGGCGGCAGGCGCACCTGCAGCAGCGACAGCGAGTGGCGCTGGAGCTCTAGCTCCTGCTGCAGCCTGAGGGGAAGGAAAACGAAGAGAGTGCCAGTACAGGAGTGTGAGCGCACGGGTCAGCATGCATGCGCACCGCAGCGTGCTTGCCCAAGCAGTGCGTGGTGGTCATGATCCGCGCGGCCTCACAGCCTCCAGGCCGATGGCTCAAGCTTCCCTCCTGCACCCAACCGCCGCGCCCTGCCTGGCTGCCCATAACCCCAGCCGTGCAGGCCCCCGAGACGCCCCCCTCACCTCCGGTACTCCTTGCCGGCCGCCGCGGTCGCCGCCAGCCGCCCCTCCGTCTCAGCCAGCGCCGCGCGCGCCGCCGCCAGCCGGTCCTCCGCCGCCAGCAGCTCGGTCAGCCGCGCCAGCATGCAGCCGCCCTGGGTCGTCGCGTCGTGGCGTCGCCGCGGCGAGACACGTGTGAGCACTGGGGCGGCGTCAACAGCACGATGTGCCATCACTTGCAAGGCTTGCACCCGTCCTTGATCCTCTCAGCTGCTTGTCCTGCACTCTTGCTGTCTGCACGCAAACGGCCAGCCCGCTGGACGCGCAGCCTTTGCATGCACGCCCCCTTGGGTGTCGTGCTTCAGGGGCGATGACGAGGGGGAGGGGGCGTCACCTGCTGCCGCGCGCCGCCTGTGAGCAGGCCCTTGGGGTTGAAGTCGTCGCCCTCCAGGGTCACGCAGCGCCGCTCCACCTCGCGGCTGAAGGCCAGCTTCTTGGCAGTGGCGGCGTCCTGAGGGGGCAGAGGGTCGTGTGTGCGTGTGTGCGTGTGTGGTGTAAGAGAGTGCGTGTGAATGTGCGCGTGAGGAAACAGGGGCGTGAAAGTGGTAGACAGGGACTGAAAGACGATGAGATGCGCCATGCCTTCGGGCCCATGAACGCGTCTCCGGCATCGGCGTGTTGGGGCGCGCAGCTGCCTCGCGCCTTCGCTGCCCCCACGGCACCCGCGCGGGCCTCGCGCCGCACCCCCTAGATTACCCTCAGCCGCACGGCCCCCCGGTTCTTCAAGATCAGGGTTCTCCCTTGAACCAGGAGCCTGTGGGCCCGCAACCCCAAACCCCACCTGACACACGAAGGTGTTGCCAAACACGTACTTCATCGCCGCCTCCACGCCGCCCTCAAAGCCCACCAGCTCCAGCGCCGGGCGCGCGCGGCCCGCGCCCAGCTGCCTGGCGGCGGCCAGCACCGCCGAGGGGTCGTCGCGGTAGCGGATCTGGGGGAACCGCGTGCAAGGCCGCGGGCGGCAGGGTTTAGAATTCAGGGTTCTAGCGGCCGCGGCGTTTGTTGGGGGGTTGTGAGTGCCGGCGGTGCGGTGCAGAGGCGGGGGCCGTTCTAGGGGCCGCGAATGGGAGGGCTGCCTTGCAGGATTGCAAGCAACAGGGCCAGGTGGTGGGGGGGGGGGGGCAGTCCGGGCAGCCGAGGTCAGGAGGGGCATTTCCCCCGCAGCTCGAGCCCCGCCCTCGCCTGGTTGAGCGGGATGATGGTGACGCGCTTGGTGAGGCCGCCGCGCGACAGCAGCGCCTTGCCTGTGGCGTCGGAGTCGACCACCACCTGCGGCGGCGGGCGAACGTGAGGGCGTCGCGGGACAGCGTGCACGGATTGAGGGTGCATACAGGCCGGGAATTTGCATCGCGTTGCAGGGGCCACGATGCACGTGTGCCGTGCCGGCCGGCCATACTCCTGGCCGGCCGGCAGATACGGATATACATGCGGCCGTGGGCCCTGAGGATTGGGTGTTCTTCATGGAGGGGGCGCGGCCGCACCTGGTAGAGCCTGCCGCCCGCGACCACCTCAAGCGCTGTTGCTGTCGAGGGGTCCTGCACGCGGACCAGCTTGGCCACCACCTGGTGTGTGTGTGTGTGTGTGTGTGTGTGTGTGTGTGTGTGTGTGTGTCCGCGTGCGCGCGCGTTTGTGTGCACGCAAGCGTGCGATAGCGAGGGAGAACCCCTGTGCCCATGCGCACATGCCTGCATTGCAGGTTGCGTGCATGCGCCCAGGCGGGGCACAGGGGCGCGCAAGGGCCGCGTGGCGGCGCCATACGCTTAGTCCCGTGCACTGCGGCACCAGCTTCTTGATGCCGCTCACCCCCTTGACCCTGTCGCGGTCAAAGCCCCTCTCAGGGTCCTTGAATTGGAAGTCCAGGCTGGGGGGCAGCTGCGAGACGCAGGGAGCGCACGAGAGCCGGGGCCGGGGTGTGTGTTGAAGGATGTGAGCAAGCGCTGTGTGCTCTGATGGATGGAGCGCTGCCGAACGCGCATGCGCACACGTGTGCTGGGCATGAACACACGCTTGGGCGTGGCTTGTTGCTGAAAAACTCCGCTCAAAGTGACCCTGCACGCTGCCTCACACTGGTCTTGCCCACACCTCCAGCAGTGCTCACGCGCACCTCCCCTCCCCCTCCCCACCCCCCACACACGCAAGCGCCGGCCCCTCCTCCCCCACCTGCGCCGCCAGCGCCTCCACAGAGTCCTTCAGGGCGCGCACCGCCGCCAGCTGCTGCTGCCGCGCCGCCTCCAGGCCCTCCACCTCAGCTGCATCAAAGCCCAGCGTCTGATGGGGGGGGTGAGGGAGCCGCGGCGGCAGCCCCATGGACGGGAGGTGGCGCGCAGAGGTCAGCAGAAGAGAGGGTCCTCTCAGCGCTGCATCCGCCGGAAGGGACCCCAAACACGACAGGTTTGCGAGACCACCCAGGAGGTTGGGGCGGCCGGCGCACCTGCAGCCTGGCCGTGCACGCGTCGACCTTCTTCTGCGCCGCCGCCAGCTCGGCCTCCAGCTTGGACGCCTCCTTGCCCTTCGCGGCCAGCGCCTTGCGCTGCTGCTCCGCCTGCTTGGACAGGAGCTTGAGGCGGACGTCGGCCGCCTGGCAAGGGAGGGGACCACGGCATGAAATAGAGGGGCTGCGGGGGGCAGCAGTGCAGTTCGCAGCCGCCCTGCTCTTTAGGCAGCGGCAGCAGCAGCGAGACCGTCGGCACCTCTCCCCACAGACCAAGCATCTCGCTTGGGACCCGTCCTCCCTGTAAGTCGTGCGGCACCAGCTCGAG